AAACACACCTTATTTTTAGCTCTCCATGGGTCCGCCAGCACTGGCTCGGCCTCCTTGTTGACATCATCAGAATTGCCAATTTTTAGCCAATCCAATGCAAAGCATTGGATTGGCTAAAATCAGCAAGGGGTGGGTCCATTTGGCCAATCAGCACCTCCTCATAGAGATGCATTGAAACAATGCATCTCTATGAGGAAAATTCAGCGTACCCATGCAGAGCGTGGGGACGCTGAACGTCAGGGCTGCTTAGTGTACAGCCATGAGCCAAGAATCACCTCCAGTGGCCATCTGTGGAGTGGCCACTTGGAGGTGTTCCTAAGGGCAATGTAAACACTGCATTTTCTCTGAAAAGACAGTGTTTACATGAAAATGCCTGAAGGTAGGTATTATACTCACCAAAACAACTACATTAAGTTTAAATAATCTTAAAGTCAAGTACACTACCAAGTAAGTACAAAAAAAACTAGGGAAAATCAAACTTTTTGGAATGCTAGGTTATAGTCCAAAAACATACAGCATCGCCATTACACCTTATTTTGTACTTGTTGTAGCTGTAACTCCATCCTTGAGATTGCATTGCAATCCCCTACAGTTTGCAAACACAAAAGTAAAATAGAATGTAATTTATTCCCTAGTGAGTTCCTTGCCCAGCGAATAACTTTGACAGTGACAAATATTGTTTTAAAAAAATACTTTGGGGTTTTCATGTGCTGTAAGCCATAATCATCGCACTTATGGCAAATCATGGCTTGAACTATCTTGCTTTGCATTTAATGCGTCTATCTCATATATTAGTTTCCCCTTTTACGTTGCATTACTGAAATAAATTAACTTTTGCACGATATTCGAATTTTTCGAGTATCACCTGTACTTCCACTTTTGTACTGCATGAAAAATAGCAAAAACACAAACAAACAAAAATGACATGTAAGATTGCTTAACATCGGGCTAGTTTGCTTTGTAGCTAGACACTTGCAACACTAGATAGGAGGAAACATCTTTTTATATGACGAATGACAGATACCCACGGTATGCACACGAATGTTAATGGAAGATCCTACAGCCTTGTGTTTTTCTATAGACATTCAAATAGACATGGTGGGAAAGTAGCAGAACTGGAGGTGAGAGTGGAGTGTGGCCGTATAGGAGAGAGCAAGAGGAAGGTTTGAGAGATAGAAGTTACTCTTGGAGGCCTTAGGAATTCCTAAGAAGATGGGTTTTGAGAGACTTCTTAAAAGATTGAAGACTAGGGGAGAGTCTGACAGCGGTAGGCAGGCTGTTCTAAAGGAAAGGAGCCGCCCATGAGAAGTCTTGCTGGCTTGAATTTGCAGTAAGGGCACAAGCAGCAGACAGGAGAAGGTCACCAGTAGAGCGGAGAGACCGATAGGGGGCATACCTATGAATCAGTGAGGAAATTTAAGAGGGGCTAGAGTTGGTTAGATATGGACCCTATTATGTGCGGTGGTCCAAAGGCCTGTTTGGGCCCTCTATTAATCAGTTTATTGAGTAGATAAAGATAAGTAGATACATTGTTGGTGTGAGAGACAGTGTTTCCTAAGATGCTAAGTCAGACGACATAAATGTGCCCGCCTGACCTCAGCTTTATAGAGATATGACTATAAAACATCTTATCCTTAACCTGTCATGGACCGAATGACATTTCAAATAACATTACATTACTGTTAAACATTGCTTTTTGCATTATCGTTGAATAATTTATTTTCCACTTTTATATCATTTAAAGCTTGTACATAGGATGTATGATCTTGTTTTTAATTGGATTAAATGTTCTTATGATGACAAAGATATTGGTTTTATTGCTTTAAACCTTACTGACGTGCTTTGTCTATTTATCTCGTTGATATAAACCCATCCCTTTATAAAGACTGTGTTCCTTTCATATTTAAAATAAAACATGGAGTAGGGAAGCTTCCTAAATATGTTTAAAAATACACGACAGTATTACTGCAAAAGTAGCACAAGATGCCACAAGGTAGATGGAGCATTTACATATGTTAATTCTTGATCATAGTAAAGTCACAGGCTCCCAGTTTATACGTATACACGTATACGAGGACAATCTTTAAATAATGTTATATTTATAAAGAAAGATTCACGCATAAATAAATATACAGTATAAATGTGTGTGTTCTGGCAACTCAATGTGACAAAAAAATCTTTTTAATTGGGTTTATGTTGTATCTTTTTTCTTTGACTGCTTGTGATATGTTTTAACCCCTTAAGGACCAAACTTCTGGAATAAAAGGGAATCATGACATGTCACACATCATGTGTCCTTAAGGGGTTAAACAAATCTAGCCTAAAACAAACAAACAACGCATGTTGTGAGAACAGCTTGAAGGCAGGCATGAAAAGCACCTTGCTTTAATAGCAAAAACAAAGCAAAACAAAACCTATATACCTTATAAGCAAAAGACAAAATAGATATTTCCTGGAGACTAAGATTCCACATGTTGTTCGTATTCTCTGCTGCTTATTACAAAATGCTTGTCTAAACACGGATTATTTGCCATTCTGATTACTCCACCTGTTCATTGGTTTTAATGTGGCCTTTTATTTGAAATCTAACAACATAAAATAACAGCAGTTATTATGAAATAATACTGCTATGAGCATGTGATTTTAGCAACTTGTCAGAACCTGACATTCTAAAATATCAGCTATTAAAGGGACACTTTGGACTCCAAAATATTTTAGCTTATCGTAATGCCTTTTGTGCAAAGAGTATGTTCGCTTTTTTTCCATTTTACAAAAAGTGCAGATTTCGATACCAACTGAAACTTTTATAAATTTACCTTGTTACACTAACTGGCTCTTAAGAGACAACCGATCCTGTTACTTCCTGGTTTGGTTAGCTCAGTGGAGCTAAACTCAAGAAGCAGCAATTGCCCAGGGCACCTGCCTTGCAAAGACTTTGCAAGCTACATTGGCAGGTCAGTGATTGGACAGCCACTGAAAATATGGGCACGGTTAGTAGGGGAGGGCTTGCAAAGGCATTAGGAAAGAGATCTGCAGATCTTAGATATATAGCAGTGAAGAAAATGCATAATTAAACACATGCATGTTTTAATTGGGTAATATATGTACTAAACAGTGATTAGTATTTTTTTGGGGGGGAGGGGATGTGGGGCCAGTGAATTGTACATTTAACAGCATTCCAAAGTGCAGTGAAATGCTTGCTTATTGGTCTGCCATTTGTGCCACAAGTAAATTCCAGTTATTCACAAACGTCAGTTTATTTTTATTAATGAGTTGCAAGGTATTCAAAGGTTTGCCAGGAGGCATCTTGAGGAATTCTAATACAGTACATAATGAAGCAACACGTGAAATAATGTATACAAATTAAATAAATTACATTTCACCTTGGGTAAAAGAAGTGCTGAGAAAACTTGGACAGACATTTACAAAAGTGAGCTATATCAATCTGTGAAACTGAAAACAGGGATATAATTGGGGGTTGGAAGGGGGTGACACATGACAGCCTATGTTTGCTGTAGTTTATGACATTCACAGAGAGGCAGGGCCGCCATCAAGGGGTGACAACCATGACTGTTGACTGTCCCTTTCTGCACACATAGATAGCGAATATCGCGATCTATGTGGGCAGGCGCGGGCCCCCGGCTCCCTGTTACCGCAGAGGGGCCCAGGCAGCACACAGCTTCTCCTCTCTTCTAATAACTCTTGTGAGACCCGCGGAGCGTTGCCATGGTAACCGGGTCTCGCGAGAGTTATTAGAAGAGAGAAGAGAGGAGAACAGGCAGTGTGCTGGGCCCCCTCTGCGGTAACAGGGAGCCGGGGGCCCCCCCCACCGGACCACCAGGGATGGAATCTCCCCCCTCCCTGGACACAGGTAAGCAGGGAGGGGGGAGAAACATTTACATTTAATTTACACACTGCATACACTAACACAACACACACACACTACATACACTAACACAAACACACACTGCATACACTAACACAAAACACACACTGCATACACTAACACAACACACACACTGCATACACTAACACAACACACTGCATACACTAACACAACACACACTGCATACACTAACACAACACACACACACTGCATACACTAACACAACACACACACTGCATACACTAATACAACACACACACTGCATACACTAATACACTAATACAATACACACACTGCATACACTAACATAACACACACATTGCATACACTAACACAACACACGCACTGCATACACTAAAACAACACACACACACTGCATACACTAAAATAACACACACACACACTGCATGCACTAACACAACACACACACACTGCATACACTAACATAACACACACACTGCATACACTAACATAACACACACACTGCATACACTAACACAACACACACACGCACTGCATACACTAACACAACACACACACACACACTGCATACACTAACACACACACACTGCATACACTAATACACTAAAATAACACACACACACTGCATACACTAATACACTAATACAATACACACACTGCATACACTAACATAACACACACACTGCATACACTAACACAACACACACACGCACTGCATACACTAACACAACACACACACACACACTGCATACACTAACACACACACACTGCATACACTAATACACTAATACAACATACACTCTGCATACACACATTAACACACTCTGCATTCACTACACTAACACACACTCTGCATTCACTACACTAACACACACTCTGCATCCGCTACACACTAACACACTCTCTGCATTCACTACACATTAACACTCTGCATTCACTACACTAACACACACTCTGCATACGCTACACACTAACACACTCTCTGCATTCACTACACATTAACACACACTCTGCATTCACTACAAATTTACACACACTCTGCATTCACTGCACTAACACACACACTACATTCATTACACTGACACATTCTGCATTCACTACACACTAACACACACTCTGCATTCATTACACACTAACACACACTCTGCATTCACTAAACTATGCACACACTCTGGATTCACTATACCGACACACACTCTGCATTCACTACACTAACATACATTTTGCATTAACTGTACACACAGCATCCACTACACAAACATCCTGTATTCACAGTACACACACTACATCCACCACAAATTGAAACACTCTGCATATACTATACACAGACACTGCGTCTAATACACACACTGCATCCACTAAACACATTTCATCTAGTACATACAAACACTACATCCACCATACAAACACACACTACATCCACTACTCAAATACACTCTGCGTTCACTATACATACTGCATCCGCTACACAAACACACACTCTGCATTCACTGCACAAACAGTATCTAATACACACAAACACTACATCCATTACACACTTCCACTATACACACAACATTCAGTCCTGCATCATTGTGAGCGGACTAGGTAGGGCGTGGGCGGGCCCGGGAGGGAGGGAGTGGGGGCCCAGACCTTGTGCTTTGTCAGGGGCCCCAAAATTTCTGATGGCGGCCCTGCAGAGTGGTGTTGTTTAAGTCCTGGGAAATGTGGGGTTAAACACGTGATAATTTAGCAATTTCCAAGTCTCCTTAGCAGCAAATAAATCATACACCCATAAATCACATATCCCCTGATAGCCCCGATCTGGGTGAGCAACATACTGAAATATCACCCGGTTGAGGGGTTCGCCAGTTTCCTGGAGGTCTTAGTTTTACCGACCGCACATGTGGTGTATGCCCAAAATAGTTCCACACGAAAGGGGTGTGCGGTCGGTCTTTGTTCGAGTAGCCAAAACTTACGAAATCCCAGGCTAGAGCGTTCGTGCCTTAGTTCGATATAATCCCCTCGTTCATATATTTATTCTCCAAGAAAACCACTCTGTTCAGATGGTTTTTCACGAACTTCCACGAGGTTAAATGTTTTAGTGGTTTTCGTGCCGTCGAGTGTCCGATTTGGGTTTCAGACACTCGATGACCAAACCCGCTGATGTTATTCGTATTCCAAGATGGCCGCCACCACGTACTCGTCTATACGACTGACGGCCACCCTGAAGATCACACAGGGATTCGGGCATATGCGGTTAACCAGATATACAGAAGGTTAATAGGGTCAATTGGTGCCACACTCCCCTCCTGGGTGGCTGGGTTGTTCGGTACTTTGTTTGTTTGCCGAACCATACAGTGTAATCCAATATATCCAATACAACTTTTATTAGTACCGAACAACTAAACGAAATGTCACAGGAATACAGGGTTGCAATGGAGGGATACAATAAAACAGAACCAAACACACACACAGCAGTATGGACAGTCTCTAGTACCAAAAAGGATTACTAAACTACAGCCCATACCGCTACACTTATCTACAAGGTTGCTGCATAAGCAACATTTCAGAAGAAACAGCTGCAGGAACTGCTAACACAAACATGATTTTAAAATGTAGCTTTTAACCCCTGCAGATGTGGAAGGACCTAACCAGGGCAACGGCTTTAAACCTTTATTTACCTGTATCTATGACATATCCAGGACTACTAATTACACCTGTGGGACTTTAACTATTTCTTCACCTCTATTCCCTTTGCCCTCTTCCACCCACAAAACCATACAAAGAGGGCCTGTCCAGATATTTGTAGATACAGGATAATATATGTTATTAAATCCATGTCTCAATATGCAATCCATCCATAGGTTAATGTATATATTTCTTTATAGCTCTGTATGTCTAGGGGAATATTTACTAAACATTGTATAGGCAAAACAATTCATTTCCCATCAATTGTAATGAAAAGGAATGTTCTGATGAAATGCCTATTATATCCTCTCAAAGATCACAATGAATGCTGCTGGTGAACCAGTTCTATTACCATGAGGAAGCTGAATCATTTACAAGAAGTGGGTTTCTGTCATTGTTGAAACTCTTCCTCTTTTTTCTCTAATGCCAGGCCATGCTTATACGGAACACTCTATTAACAAAATATATACCAATCAGTCACACTCCTTTATACCTATAGATTACTGGTACTCCTTTGTATTTTAAAATACATTTTTAATATTACTATTAAACCTACTCATCACATCAGTATTGATGTCTTTTGTCTAATCAGATGCTTCTCACAGAGAAGCCTTGAGGATCTATAGCGCACAAGAAAATCATAGAAACGTTTTATACACACACAGCGCCTGACATCCAGAACACCTTGCATATGGATGCAGACATCAAGTAGATTCAATTACTAAATCTATTTAAGTACAGTGCCCCTAGTGGCCATCTGTCTAACAGCCACTAGTAGATGAGGAAACTACAAACTGTAAACAGTGCAGGTTATGAAAGCATCTTCTGTATAAAATCACTTCATTAAGTCCATTCACAAAATAAAACAAATAGTTGAGGAACGATGTCTAAACAAAGTCTATGTTTGCTACTTTAATATGATACATAAAGAGCAGTGGTGTACACAAATCCATGGGGCCCCGGTGCGAAACTAATCCATGGGCCCTCCCCTCTCTCCCCCGATCTGTGCTCCCCTCTCTCCCCTCGATCCGTGCCCCCCCACACCCCAGGACACATACATACATACAGACACACACACAAACATACACACAGACAGACACACACATACATCCCTCGACAGACACATACATACAGACACATACACATATATACACACAGACACATACATACAGACACACAGGCACACACACACACATAGACACAGACACACACACATACAGAGACACAGACACACACACACACACATACATACATAGACACAGACACATACATACGGGCCCCATGGATTGTGTGTACGCCACTGCATACATAGACACACACACATACAGAGACACACACGTACATACAGAGACACACACACACACAGAGACACAGACACACATACAGAGAGACACAGACACAAAGGGACGTATTAGCTGCGAGGCAAACAAGGCATTTGTAGCCAGCGCCCAGTAGCCAGCCCATCAGCCCGACCGGCAGCCACTGGACCACCAGGGACAAAGAGACACCCCCCCAACATTCCCAAAGATAAGGAGGCGGGGGGGGGGTTAAATAAAAAAAAAGTGTTAATGTGAGTGTGTGTGAGTGTCTGGCTGTGTGTGTGTGTTTCTGACTGTTTGTGTGTGTGAATGTCTGACTGTGTGTGTGTGAGTGAGTGTCTGACTGTGTGTGTGTGTGTGTGTGAGTGTCTGACTGTGTGTTTGTGTCTGACTGTGTGTGTGTGTGACTGACTGTGTGTGTGTTCTGTGTCTGACTTAGTGTGTGTGTGTGTGTGTGTCTGTCTGTGTTGTTTCTCTGTAATGTGTGTGTGTGTTAGCTGTCTGACTGTGTGTGTGTGTGTGTGTGTGCCTGTTGTGTGTGTGTGTAGTGGCTGTGTGTGTGTGTGTGTCTAACTGTGTGTGTGTGTCTGACTTTATGTGTGTTGTTTGTGTGACTGTGTGTGTGTGACTGACTGTGTGTTTGTGTCTGACTGTGTGTGTGTGTGTGTGTGTGTGTGTTTGTGTCTGACTGTGTGTGTGTGTCTGACTGTGTGTGTGTCTGACTGTTTGTGTGTGTGTATTTAGAAGATGGGGTGGGGGGAAGGGTTGGGTGGGGGTGGGGGGTGCATGGGAAGCACAAAACCAGGATGCACCACTGCAGACACACATACAGACAGACACACATACAGAGACAGACACACATACACACACATACACATACATACAGAGACACAGACACACACACATACAGAGACACAGACACACACACATACATACACAGACACACACACAGAGACACACACACACATACATACATACAGAGACACAGACACACATACAGAGACACAGACACACACACACACACACACACACATATATATACAGAGAAACACACACACATATAGAAAATGTTTCCTACCTTGTTACTTTCCCTGGGGTCCAGTGGTGGCTCAGCCTGATGGGAGTTCCCACTCTGACTCCCTCCTCCTCCTCCTTCCTCCCGCGCGGGCTGATAGCTGGGAGGAGTGACCAGGGAATCACTTCCTCCCAGCAGTGATGTCATTACAGGGGGCCCGGTCACACTCTTAAAGTGCCCAGCACAGACCGGGCCCTCTCACAATCCATATCCATCGGGTGGCCCTGACAGCATGGGCCACCCGATGAACTCCTCCATATGCGGCCCCGGCGGTTTGCCGCGCGGGCTGGAGCCGCAAAATGTGGCAGCAGGCCTGGTACCCGGTCGCAGGGGTCCGCAGGGCGGCCGGGCCTCCTGGAGTGCCGGGCCCAGTTGCAACTGCGACCCCTGCGACTGCGGTATGGACGCCGCTGATAAAGAGGCAACAAAAATGTGGTCACAGAACAAACAATATACTGAGAGGAGTTTTTATACATACAAAGACACACACACACATAGACATACAGAGACACAGACACACATACATACACAGACACAGACACATACAGAGACACAGACACACACACATACAGAGACACAGACACACACACACACACACACACACACATACATACAGAGAAACACACACATTAATAGCATTCTGCCATTAATCCGCCATTAATAGCATTCTGGCATCAAATGAGGAGAAAACAAGTCTGATTATTAATTTCACATTGACAATGCGAGAGGAGGCTACTGCCAAAATGTGTGCATATTTTACATTCCACACACAGAGCTGGATACATTATAAACTGTAAGATCAAAGGTCAAAGGTTTATGTTCCCTTAATAATCTTTTCAGAGTTATATGTATTATTTACATTTATTTTTATTTTACGTTTTGTATTATTAGACACACAAATACACAGAAAAGCACAAACAAAAGAACACACATCATGACCACACACATACTTGATTGTAAAAACATGTACAGACTTAAGGCACTTCTGGGCTGCAGCATTTATATTATCTAACTGTCCTTAGACTGATAAATAATGCAGTGTTAGCAAGAAAGGTTATTGTTTCATATTGTATGTTGTGACATTACAAATGGTTCAAAATGGGATATGAAAACATATTCTGCCTATTGGAAAAAAAAACATGCAGATCAATGCCGGGTGTATATGTGTGTGTTTATATCATGAACTTGTTTTCAGACCTCATACTGCATGGTGGGTGACCACCTGCACGTTATTGTCTGTAATGCACACTGGCTGACAGCAAAATTAGAGGGATTTAGGCTTACACATGCTATTTGCACCTGCTGCCATTTAAATTTATCATCTATGCAAGGCCACCTTTGCCGCAAGACAAGGGGGCCCACAGTAGCTGCCTCTTGAGTCCTCTATACCTGGGCTGTCAAACATGTGGCCCACTCGTCAATGATGCATGTCGAGAGTAGATGAGTATAGAGAGAACCCGCACAAGTCTGTCTCCTCAGCTCCTCTCTCAGCATATCAGTATTGGGAGAGCCTCTAAAAAATTGATAATGACAGATAACTTCTAGGTAGGAAGATGATTTTGAACAGAGACCTTACACATTTTGCTGTGGTTCATGCTGGTACAATATAAATATTAATTCCTTTTTTTTTGCTAAACTCAGACCTTAGTAAATAGATCTCCTACCAATAGAATATAACATTAAAGGACCACTATAGTGCCAGGAAAACATACTCGTTTTCCTGGCACTATAGTGCCCTGAAGGTGCCCCCACCCTCAGGGACCCCCTCCCGCCCGGCTCTGGAAAACTTACCTTTTTGCAGCGCTGGGCGGGGAGCTCTCTGCCTCCGATCCTCCTCCGTTCCTCCCCGTCGGCTGAATGCGTACGCGCAGCAAGAGCTGTGCGCGCATTCAGCCGGTCGCATAGGAAAGTATTTACAATGCTTTCCTATGGACGTTTGCGTGCTCTCACTGTGATTTTCACAGTGAGAATCACGCAAGCGCCTCTAGCGGCTGTCAATGAGACAGCCACTAGAGGCTTTGGGGGAAGGCTTAACTCATTTATAAACATAGCAGTTTCTCTGAAACTGCTATGTTGATAAAAAAAAATGGGTTAACCCTAGCTGGACCTGGCACCCAGACCACTTCATTAAGCTGAAGTGGTCTGGGTGCCTAGAGTGGTCCTTTAAGACCTACAAACTAACAATACTTCAAATCACAAGTCTTGGCTATTATATATCAACTGTAAGCTCTTTGGAGCAAGGCCCTCTTCAACCTATTGTTCCTGTAAGTTTTTGTAATTGTCTCATTTATTGTTAAATCTCCCCCTTTGATAATATTGTAAAGCCCTACGGAATATGCTGGCGCTATATAAATACCAGTAATAATAATAACTGTGATTTCTTGTGGGACATGGGATTGCAAGTTCCAAAATAATGATACTTGCAGAGTGCTGAATAAAGCTGTTTAGGGATCAGATGCCAGAAGGCAGAAGGAAGGAAGGTTGGAATTCACCAGTTGGCAACATCCCAACCACCCAACTGTAGCACTGAATTCCAATTTATAAAGTAAAATGAATTGTTAAGCAGTAAAAGATTTGTACTAGTGGGAAGTATATTTCCCAACTGAGCCAACAAATGATACAATTTGCATGCCAACACGGAAGAGGAAGAAAAAATTGCGAAAAAAAGAGGAAGACACTATTGCCAAAAATATAGCAAGTGTAGAAATATTAGTTTTTTAGGCAAAGAAAACACCCATGAATCGTTAGAATGGGATCATGATCAAGGATTTAGCTTTTCTAAAGAAATGGAAACTGCACCCTATTTATTTATAACAATGATCCAGAAAAGTCAAATACAGAATTGACTAGAGAATAAAAAAATTAAAATCGAATATAAAAAAAACAGAATAT